TGCCTCACACATGCTAGGCAAGTGCTCTCCCACTGAGTCACAACCCCAGCCCCTAGGCTGTTATTTTGTAGAAAGCCCCTTAGCTTACCTGATGCTCCTTCTGGACGAGGTTCTGATTCTTTGGCAGGAATGTGGTAGAAGCTGTGCTGTATTCTACCATTTTTTTCTATCCTGTGGTACACCATTTCTTTGTTCTGTTACTTGATTTAAGATAGTGTCAAGCTTCTTCTTTCTTTGTCCCTTTGTAATAAACAAATATATGGTGAAGTAGTATTTTGAGATTATATAAGTAACCCCATCCCTCTCATACAGTTGTTCACTTATTTATATCTGTATTACTCTTGGTTTCCTATTTTAGAATAGTCTTTATCATTATTTGTTTTAATGCTTAAATTGTCACAGATTTCGTCAGTGGGGACTCCTCCTCACTGGTGTTTGTGTACTTTTGATATGTCCTAGCACAAGGCATTTCTTACCTCTCACCTTGGAAGCCAGTGTTTCTTCAAGGAACCCTTGTTCCTTTTAGTAGATAAAATGGTATTTAGAAACCAGAATCTGAGCACCAGGTGTGCTCATTATAATTGGAGTATCTGTTTCTAGGATTTCTCAGAGGCTAAACCTAGACAATATATATTTATATATAAACTATATGGACACATGTATTGTATTTCTTTTATAGCCACCTGTGTCTAGCTACCTATCTGTTCACTGAACACCAGGATTTCGCACAGTTGCATCTAATTCTGGTTTGACACACATGTTCATTCTTGTTTTGTTCTGGCTATGTTTGTAAGTCTTCTTAGTTTTTATTATTTCTTTACAAGTTGGTTAGTCTTGATCTGTTCTCTTATGTATAACCAGTCTCCCTCTGCTGCAGTCCCCTTCCCACATAGTTGCCCTCCTCACCCTATTTGGACTAACACCTTAGGCAGGGCTACTGCCACTCCTTCTTACCATCTTTCTTACCATGAACATCTTTCTCAACTATTTGGCCACCCTTGGTGGATGCCATCTTTATGTTAGGCAATGCTGACACACACTGGTCTGTCTTATGGATGCTCTGTTAGCTCTTCTTGGGTTCTAATATCATTGCTCGTCAGCCCCTCCACTGCACATATATGCTTTCTTTATCCCAACACAAATACTGACCTTGCTCTTCCTAAGCTTATTAAAGTTAGGCCACCCCACATGGATATCTTCTTTATCCTGCTTGGGCTCTGACTTTCTGTTTACCAAGAAGCCCTCCTTACCCTGCTTGGACTTCAACACACTATGCCAAATCACCCCTCAGTGGGGTGCGCCCTCCTCCCCAACTCTAATCCTGTGTCAGGTTGCCTTTGTGGGAGGTTAGTCTCCTCTTTCACTTGAGCGCTGAGATCATACTGCAGATTACCATTCTCACAGTTGGCCTCTTCCTCAACCTCACCAGCTTCTGCCACTCTTCCTCCACATGCCACCACATACCTCTATCTTGCTCATGCTCATGAAATGGCTTTGAAATGGACTGCCAGGAAGAGAAGTGGGAGACATTTAAAATCTGTGAATGGATTTCTCTACTTATGACAGTGGATCCCACAAATTATATTCCTACAAAAAGGTCAGTCATCCATGTACACACCCCCAGTGGGAATGATTATCCTGAACAACACCCATCCTTCAGAGTGAGATTAGAAGAGCTGTCTATCCTCAGTTGAAAGTTCAGCTCCTGAGTAGCTCACCAGGCTGACATAAATGAAGCATGGAGGCTTTTCGTTCAATCTGTCCCCAAACCCAGGCCAGCTGTTTTGGGTCTACACCAGTGTGGCCACTATATTTTGAGGGCCACTTCAGGGTGATTCTTACCATTAGTCCTTGTTATAGGAGTGCTGTTTCTAGAACCTGCTGCTGCACAACTGCTAAGGATGCAGTGCCCTTCAGAGACCATATGGGAAGAAGTCTTGTGGCACTACCCGAGCTCTTCTAAGTTTAGGGCTTTGTATAGCCTCATAGAGAACAAAATCTTTGCATTTGACTGTCAGGCCTGGGAGTGAGGACAGAGCCTGGGATAGTAAGTTACCTAGCCATGGTTGTGAGGAAAGCTTGGATCTAGGCTGGTGCCTGGGAAGCAGCTGCTCCCCTGAGAGCTTTTGCTCTCTATTTATGGGGTCATGATAATGTTACACTACAGTGTTCTAAGCACCCCCAGAAGCCTAAACTAACAAAGCACTTGGGAAGAGTTCCCAGTTTCTCTTGCCCAGACGTTTACGCTCTGCTGTCCCTTTTCCCAAGGAGCACTGCAGCCCTCTTGAGGCTTACTGTTTGTCACGTTGGCCCTAGCCTTGAATTGAGCCCCCCATACAATGGTCCACTACAGTCAGGATGACAAAGGTTGTATGAAGATAGCAAGGACAGCAAGACCAGCGAGGGTTGGGCCCTTTGGGTGGCTAGGGAAGTGCAGGGTAATGGAGTGTTTGTTTCCTGTCTCTGGACCAGGAAGTATTGTTTACTCACTGATGACAGATGCACACAGAATGGAGGGGGTGGTCTCCATGTCCTCACCTGCAGCCTCCAGGCAGCTGGGGCTAGGGTGCCAGTGCTAATGAAGCAGGACCGGAAACCCACTGGACAAGGCTCAGCTGTGAACCCTGGCCTCACAGTCGGGAACGCAGAGGCCCTTTGAAGAAGAAGACAGCTGGGTTTTGGTTTCAGACCTTAACACTGCCATCACTAGATATTCATCTGTCAGCACACAGGGGACAACATGTGGGGAACAGTTGTGTCCAGTCAGGCCAAAGGGAGAAAGAAATGGATGATTTCCAAACTACAAAACTGCCTGGGGCCAGTGGTTCTGCCTTGCATAGCCAAAAATAATTGATTTGGTGAGGTGAAGGCTGAGTGTGAGAGGTTGGACTGTCTGCATGGGCCAGGCGGTCCTTGCCATGTTGCCTTTAGCTCACAGCAGGTGAGGACACTGAGGCTGGAGGTTCTATGCCTAAGTTGTACAGGACGACCTTGCTTGTCTCCCAGTGCTCCAGTACAGACTGCTGTCCTGAACTGGGGGTGAATCCAGCCTGCCCACTGCACTTTATCCAGCATTACTGAAATGAGCTCAGCTTTGCTTTCATTTACTTGAGGCCAGTATTTCCTCCTCTTGCTCTTTTTCCTCTCTCCTGACTTCCAATTGCTGGATTTGACTGGTGGTATTTTTCTTTCAGGACAAAAAAAATATTTGTAATCCTTGGTTGAATTTGTTTACTAAGAGTTCTCTAATCTGTGCAGTTTACTTCTGAGGGGATTTCTTGTTCTACTCTAATGGCTTTTAACTCACAGAGGTTTATTTAGCAGAAGAGGAAGGGAGCAAGTTATCTCCTGCTTAATCCCTCTTGAATGTTTACATTTCTCAGCCAGAGCATGGTGGAAAGTTGCAGCATCCATTTGCTCTGTAATAGTCCATATGTGACTGCCAGAGCTGATGGAAACATATTAACATAAGTGATAATACTGTCATAGAAGTGAAAAGTTAAGTTGCTTATCAGTATATTTTGATAAGCTACTTAAATTTTACAGTAGCATGTGCTGGCTTCAGACAAACGTCATTGATAGGGGATTGTGCACTTTATCTGTCCTCTCTATTGCTTCTCACTTCATTTATTACCCTCAACAGTGCAGCTGGTAATCTGTACAGGGCACTGATCCCCTCTCCCAGGCAGGATGTCACATCTGTGCTGTGCCTCAGGTCCAGCTTTATCAGTAACGGATGCTCTTAGCTCAACAGGCTGGACATGTGCAGGCTGCAAGTACTTGGAATGAAACTTCTCCTGTGCCTGTTCCACGTAACTCTGGAAATGTTCCTTACCAATAGCAGACCCCTTCAAAGTAGTGGTAGAACTTCTTGGGACTGGGGTAACTTTTCCATACACAAGGGGACTTTGCCCTTAATCTTCATCTACTTGTATTTGTTCAGTAAATTCTGAGCGCCAACTATGCACCATGCTTTATTCTTGGCACAGAAAGTGGAGAAAGATGCCCTTCTTCCTTCTTACTCTGTGAGTAAGCCCTAGTCTGTTGAGAAGGCATGTGCTACATCATGTGGGGACCAGGGCAGCACAGGAAAGAGGGAATTGGCATACGATGCAGGCATTCAAGTGGAAGGTTTTCAGGAAGATGAGCAGAAATCAACTAGACTAAACCACAAAGTTCAGAGGGAGATGAGGACTGAGGTGTGCTCACTCAGGTAGGCCTGAGGCTACCTGGATATTCTTGGAGTGAAGCTGCCCTAAGAGTCATAGGCACAGGGCCAAGTAGAGGGAAGAAAGACAGGGAGGCAGTCCAGGGAAATCCTGATAAGGAAAAGCCTCCCCAGCCATCCTAAAAAATGGACATCATTGCAAGAATTTAATCCAATGTGTGATTTTGCATTTCTGAAAGACCATTCTAAGAGCCCAAATGAGGTCTGAACTTCAAGGCCAGGCCATCTTGTGAGTTTAGGGAAGTGATGGTCAGGACATGGGGGAAGGCAGTGGGGACAGAGAATTAGACATTAAATCTACGGTCAATATAGAGTAAGTTCATTAGAAGTTGGTCTAGTGTACCAACACAAGTAGTTTGGGGCATGCAAGGTCTGTGGGACACCTTGCAGCCATCATCAGTGAGTGTGCTGTATGTGGCTGTGTGTGTTCAATCATGAGAAATTGCATGGACACTTTCCTGGGGACGTTGGGTGGGGTGGGAGAGGCCTAGGGCAACACAGAGATGGAGTCTGATTGCAGAGTCTGCTTTGAATTTCTTCTCTATGAACCTGGTTTAGCTCTGAGGCATGGGAATAATTCATAATGGTCATTTAATCCTCTGCCTTACAGAAATAATTAGCATTTCACCTGCCTGTGTTTTCAGGACAGTCTATGACAGGAAGACTCTTAGGGATATAGAGAAAATCTGAAATGTATCAGTCTCGAATTAGGTCTCGGTTCAGATTTTTGACCTGCATACTAATACTTCCTGTGTTTCCTCTTCTTCCCCAGCTATCTGCCCTGGTTCGAGGTATTTTATAAACTACTTAACATCTTGGCAGATTACACGACAAAAAGACAGGTATTTGCCTTTCTTTTAAAAATTAATTATTTTTTAACAAATAAATTTTAAATCATGATTATGAAAGTAATAAATGTCTTGTATTTTACCAGAACCTTTACTAAAAAAAATCAATGCATGCCCACTAGAGAAACTTTGGGAAATTCAGAAAATAGTGGGAAGGAAAAGAAAATCACTTCTCACCTAATCTTCCCTTATTCTTTTCCCAAAAATAAATATTGCTATCTTGTTGGGTTGGCTTTTTTCTTTAGTTTTTTTCTTTGAGTTAAAGAAATAATTAATAGATCTTAGCATTCACAGAGTTAATAGTCACAATTTCTAATATTCCTAAGCAGCTCTGAAAGTTCATGACATGTATTAAATTATAATTTTGCTGAGGCGCAAATTTGAATTGCTCACATCATGCTGCAAATCTGGGGTTTGCAGGTAATGCGCTTTAGTGGCACGTGACCTACCCAGCTGCCCATGCTCCCATTTTGATAAAGCTTTGTGGTGTTTTTTATGCTAATTTTTTAAGGATTTGAAAATTACTTTAAAAATTCAAGTGTACCTTATTATACTTTTGGAAGAAATGGTATGCTGAAGTAGCTCCATGGATGTCAAAGGTCACCTGGAGCTGTGTTTAGACTTGTAGCCCTTGGTTGCAGAAACTATTGTAATAGGCTCCCTTCTCCCATGCTATTAAAAATACTATAAATATTTTTGGTGACTGCATGACACTGTATCATGTACTTTGCAGCTCAGTGGTACAGTATCTCTGGGTTCAACACCCAGTTCTAGAAAGAAAAGAAAGAATGCATGTATCTTATGACTCTGGAAGGGCTGGGTAGATAGTACTTAAGCTAGTACTTGGTTACTGAAAGAGTTTTCTCTTATTGGGAATTTTAATTATTTGGAATTTTTTACTATTATAATAAATACAGCCATTAGCATCTTTGAGCATAAAGCATTTTCTTCATTTTGGATTGTTTCCTTAAGAGGTAACCCCAGACACACGTGTAAGCTCAGTGTATATAATGTTTTTGAAAGAATTCGACAATTGCTTTCCCAAAGAATTGTACTGTTTTTCATAAAGGATACTTCACCAGCAAGGTACAAGAGCCCCTGGGTCACAGTGCTCTCATCAATGTTATTTGATGAACTCGTTGTTTATTTGATAGCTAAGAGTCTTATTGTTTAATGGCACTTCTTTGATTGTTAGTAAGTTGAATATATGTCCATATGACTAACTTTTTATGTTTTTATTTTTGTTGGACTAAATTTTTTAATTAATTAAAGTGATCCTATTCTTAAATGTTAAAGAAAAATGCTTTTGTCTATAGAATACTAGTTCTGAGAAATATTCCATAAAAAACAACTACTATGGTTTAGCATGATCAGGTTTGAGGAGTGAAAGCCATATTTTCCTTCCTTAAGATTTACATAATGCAGGCCCTAAGAGGTCCTGCAGAAGAAAAAAAGTTTATTAAGCTGGGGTTGTGACTCAGTGGTAGAGCACTTGCCTAGCATGCATGAGGGACTGGGTTCGATCCCCAGCACCACCTAAAAAAAAAAAAAAAACAAAAAACAAAACAAAATAAAGGTATTGTGTCCCTCTACAACTAAAAGTATTTAAAAAAGAAAGAGAAAAAAGTTTGTTAAGCAGTGCTTCTCATCTTATTTAATCCCAAACCCTTTTTGTTGTATGGCAAAAAAGCATTCAGAGAGATCACTGTGTTTACCTGGAACACACCTTGGGAAATGCTGTTGCCTTCAGGAAAGGTGGAAATTGTGTGTATGCTAGGTAAATCTTTTGAGTTAGATTTATTCACTAGCAAATGCATTCTAGAGGTCACAGAAAATGGAAGGAAAATCTAGTACAAATGGTTCTCTCAATCGCTACACATACTCTGAAAGAAGCCTAAATGTCAGGGACTATCATAAAATAAGTGACTTACTCTTTGATGAAGATTATTAGGAGATTGTGTTGAGTCTGATCATCAATTCAGTTATAGTTATCTTTAGTCAAACATTTAGGATTTTTACTCAAGGTTGAAAGATGTCTAACAAAATTGTATAGCACAGAGACTCTTAGCAGTTTTTGAACTGCATATTAACTCACATACTTTCTTTTGTATTCTCCAGTTTTTTAATAAACAACAATAGAAATTAGTATTCCTAAAAACATCTTGTTCAGGATATGGCAGTGCATACCTATAATCCCAGGTCATCCTCTACAACCTAATGAGATCTTATCTCCAAAAAAATTTAATTAAAAGGAATGGGGATGCAGCTCAGTGGTACAGTACCCCTGGGTTCAACACCCAGTTCTAGAAAGAAAGGAAAGAACGCACATAATTTATGACTCAGGAAGGGCTGGGTAGACAGTACTTAAGCATGGGGGAGACCAGATATCACCCTGTAAAATTGATGCATCTGTCCTTGGCTATTGCTCCAACAAGGACTCTACCTCTTAGAGTATTGAAGGCTAAGATCATACAACTGTCTAGTTTGTAAGGTGTTGGCCAGTATAGGTAAGAATTTTTATTTAAAAAACTAAACCACGTCAAAATAGAATGCCTCTCCCCTTAAAACAAACAAAACAAAACCCTTCTCCTATCCAACAGTCATTGGAAAGGCTGGGTATGGTAGGCTTCTATTTGGGGGGGGGGGGTTGTGTGTGTGTGTGTTTGTGTGTGTGTGTGTGAGAGAGAGAGAGAGAGAGAGAGAATATGAAGAGAGAGAATGAACAAGAATGAGACCACGACCTTTCAGCCTGGGAAGTCAGAGCCTAAGGTGGGGGATCAGGGTGTTTTTTTGGTTCCTAGCTCCAACATGGTTATCAGATCCTGAATGGAACACTGAGGGCATCCATGTGGAAGGGAGGGGATGGCAGGGTAAGGAGAGCATCTGAACTGCAGATTAGTGTGCTCAGAGTATTGGGCTGGGGAGATGAGGATACGTATGTAGGAAAGTGGGGATAGTGGCATATGGGGATATTGGAACTTAGGTGAGATCTGGGAGGATCCACATGGAACGGGAGACAGCAACAGTGGCTCAGCAGTGTTCAGCAGGAAGGGAGGCTCCAATTTGTGAGGGGTGAAGAGTAGAGACTCAGTCCTGGAGGTCAGAGGGCAAGGTAAGCCTCTGGGTGGGGAAGGAGAAAGGGACAGTGATAGAAGTGTGGTTCCATACAAATAACTAAATATGCTCAGAAGATAGAGGCAAGATGTTTCCATGCCGCAGACAGGATAATTTGTGGAATATAGTCATAAATATATTTTTTAAAAAAGGAAATTTGAATGATTCCTATGTTGGACTGGACTTAGAGCCATTGGTGTGAACCCAAGGCTTTTGATAACGTGAAGATAGATCCAGAAATAAATAGAGATGTTTGAGGCCTATTGTGGGTCTGTGTGTATTATGCTCCCCAGCTTTATCCACTGAAAGGGCCTGGTGTCAGCAACCCCAAGCAGCAGTGAACATTCCTGGTGTTCAGATCCTAGTTCCTAAATACCATTCCCTACTAAAAGAGACCAGGACTCCTTGAAGAAATATCTGATTCCAGGTCTGGGGCAGGGAAAGTATAGGATAAGCCTAGAATATCTTTATTGCCCTAAAGTAAGGAAGTACTCAAAACATGATGGGGAAATGTCAGACACAAAAGTGAGCTTGAAGAGCCACCAGGTTTCCACTGGTCAGATCTGGGAGTGTCAAAACAAATATTGATAGCAAAAGATTGTAGCTCACTGAATAAACTGGAAACCATGTGCCCAGATAATATAAATAAGTAAATGTATAAATTGAAGTTTCAAGGAATGGAATCTTTACATAAAGCATCACTCCACAAAATATTTATTAAATACATAAGGAAAAGTGTCACCTCACAGTAGAGACATCAAATTAATTTGTTAAATGATCAAAACAAACATCACTGGTAAAGGGACAAATTGAAATTTTAATCATAAGAAAATATCAGGCAATTGAGAATCATTCTACAATGGGTGGGGCTCACTGTCCAGGTCATATAAATCTAGGAAGGACTGAAGGCTGCTCCAGAGGGAAGACTTGAGCCTCATAATTACCAAAGGCATCAGAGGATTCTGCTCTGGATTTGTGTCTGTGAGGGTATTAGTGGCACCCTTGGCAAAACTTGACAGGCCCTGAGAACTGGAGGCTCATGCTGCATGCAGGATAATTTCTTGAGTATGATGATTAACTATAGTTATGTGGGAGAATATTCTTGTTGGGATCTATTGATGATGGGTCAATGTCAGCAACTTGTCCTCAGTTCAGGAACTAGAAGGTTTTTAATACTGTTTCTACAACTGTTCTGTAAATTTAAGACTGTTGTAGAGCAAAACATATATACACATAAATTTATGTCCCTCCTCTGTGAGAAACTTGTTTGATTATCAGAGTTCAGGTTAAAACAAGCTTATAGTTTGGACTCACTCTCTTTTTCCTTAGGTTCAGTGCCCAAAACAGAGACCGCTCTGGGCATGAACACACCAAATCTGATTTGCTGCCAGCTATGCAACTTACTGATTTGAAACAAATCGCCTTTCAGAACCTCAGTCTTCACAACTGTAAAGTGGGGTGGTTGGGCAGATCAAGTGCATAACAAATGGATACCAATGTAAACTTTCTGCTGTTATGTTAGCACAAAGAATTCCATGGATTGAGAAGAGAAATGGCTTTTGGATTATTCTGAGAGCAGTGTTTCTTTGAGCATTTTAAAGGCGAATCTGTTTTAAATTGAATAATTCGTACTGCTTTGTATGTCATTCTGTTGTTCAGTTTCACTAATTAAAATGCACAGCCACCATTCTCTATTGCCTGCTGGGGTACTTAGTTCATTTCTGACTTTCCATAATCAGAGGCTGCCATGTGTACCCAGTGAACACTCAATAAAATTAATTGAGGGTAATGATGAAGACAGGATCCACAGTGTCATCGTTATTTCTCCCAGCCACCCCCGCTGTGGAAGCTCAGATTGTTTGCATTTAAAAGTTGTTGCTATGGAATTGAGGGGAAAGATTTGCTGAGAGCTTATGGTATATGATCCATAAAAGGCGGTCATGGTAGGTGTCTCACTGAGTAGAAAATGTCAAACTCAATGTAGGAGGATCTATTTGGCTCCTATGTTTGAGCCATACGCAGTGTCTTTAGCCCAATCCTGCTTGAATATCAAACCTATTCCTGTTCTGGGGCCAGCATCTCCCCCTCAGCCATGAAGGCCCAGCTCATGTGTGCCCAGATATTCTGTAGGTGTCTTACTAAGAACTCAGCTTTGCTTTTGTTACTTAGGCCTTTTATTTCTTCCAGGAAAGTCAGTGGAATGAACTTCTTGAAACTCTGCACAGACTTCCCATCCCTGACCCCGGAGTGTCTGTTCATCTCAGTGTGGTAAGTGGAGCAGAATAGCAGGTATCCCTGAGAAGGCATTTCGTTATGAACAGTCAGAGGGACTTGGGCCAAGAAGATTGTCTTTTCTCATCTGTGCCTCCCCGACTCCTACTCTGAGAATACTCAGAAACCTCTAGGCTTCGAGGAAAACCAGGAGGTTGAATTTCTTCATTTCTCTTAGATTTCACAAGACACCGAGTGTCCCAGTGTCCTGGGGCTATTCTCTGAACATCACTCCTTCACCAGCATCTTCTCGATTGCAGATGCTGGGCTAAATAAGATGACTGGCCCCTGACTGCGACTTTAGCCCCTGGCCTGTGCTCCCTGTATCACCCTTTGTCCCCCATGCTGCTGCACATTTCCTCTTGTTGAAGGCCACCCTACACTCTCAGCCTTCAACAACACCTCTCCCCTATTTGCCTGGTAGACCACACATATCCTTCATAATCAATTCTGATTTATTTCCAGAGAAATTCTTCCTTGACTTTGCAGGCTGAGGCTAAAGCTTTCTCCTTTGCCCCAAGCATCTGGCACACTTTGCAGTGCATACCTCCACTGTATTGGAATGATCTATTTTCTTTTCTCCCTCACTGGACTGAGCATCCCTTGAGGACAGAGGGAGAGTTTCTGGCCTACAATGGTAATCATTTCTTTTAATGATCCCCCCACCACCCTTAGCTACCAGGGATTGAATCCATGCTGGGCAAGTGTTCTACCACTGAGCTACATTCCCAGCCCTAGTTTTGAGACTGGGTTTCACAAAATTACCCAGGCTGGTCTTTAATTTGAAATTCTCCTGCCTCGGCCTTCTAAGTAGATAGGATTACAAGCATGAACTATCATGCCTAGCATTTTGATTGCTTTTAAATATATGCATGTTTTACAGTGTGCTAGAATGGAAAATCCTGTGAACTATCTACTAGAAGATTTCAATCCTTGTAAACTATTTTTCTAGTGACCTGGTGAAATTAATCAGTACCTTTAATTTTGTGAGCCTCAATGTCTTCATCTATCATGTAAGGCATCCTAAGAGGTATATGGAATCTTTTTCATATTTCAGTTACTGGAATTCTCCAGTTCCCTAGGTTGAGCCCTTGTCTCTAAGTTCATTGAAATTTCCTTTGGCCAAGTATTGATTATTATCCAGAAGCTATTTCCCCTGTGTCATAGGAAGTATTGGCCCAAGAAGTATTCACTTTCCAACTTCATTAGAACCACATACAGTGTTGGTATTCAGTGGTTAGGAAATTGTCTAAGGAAAATTAATATTTCCTATAGCTTTTTTTTTCAGAATCATGATAAAATTGGAAATCATATTACTATCAATAACTAATAAAGTTGTTGTTAAGTTTCTAATTTATACTAAATCTGTATCCCTAATATGCAAAACACTGCCACAAAATAGGTACTAACATTTTCATTTCATAGACAAAAGCTTTAGAGAGGAAAGGTTACTTACACATTAAAGTCTTGTGGTTTAGAAATGATAAAATTTGAATTTTCAACCCAGGGCTAATTTGAAAGCCAGTGCCCTTTCCACTATGCCACGTTTGTTGTAAGAGGAGAGGAGGGAGGGTTGAAGGGATTTATAGAGGTTTTTACTCATTTTATTCGAGCATAGGAAAATACCTTATTACAAAAATTCTTGTAAGTCAGATGGAAGTGTCTAGAAAAAAATGAACAAATGGTCTTTAGACCTGCCCAAGTCATTGCTAAAGCTAAGCAGCCCTGCCTTTGTCTCTCTCTCCTTTTTCCTAAGCAGCTTGATCTCACTGCTTCAGTCTGTAATGACATCCGACAGGTAGCTGTAGAGTAGCCCAGCTGGGTCACCAGCTGCTGGGGAGGAAGGGCCACTTCTTCCCCCAAAATGGTTGCACAAGCGGCATTCTGCCAGGCCTCAAGGACAAGCCATCTCAGGGGCAGGAGGAACTGTTGGGGTGTGCATCTGTTTCATGTGAGTGGATTCTAGGAATGTTTCTGACCTCCCTTAGTCCCCAGCATTTCATGGGCAATGGAGCAAGATAGAATCTCAAAGGACAGCCTGGGCACTACTTGGTTTTGGAATTGCAACCACTCAGTATTTACAATCCATTGCATTTGCATAGGCAGGTTTTTCTTTTTTCTTCTTCTCTAGGAATTCCTCTTTCCAAATTGCTTTTTCTGATTTTGAAGGGCTGCTCTCATCTAGGTTATAAATCTCAAATGTTAATAAAATGTCATTCTTGGAATTTTGATTTTTAGTTGCTCTCTACAAAAGAATATTTCCATGTGTCCATGTGTCTGATATAGGTTCTTGAGAAAAATAGAAATAGCAATTGGGAGCAATTATCATTTTATGTTAAAATACTATTTATTGAGTGCTAAGCACTTCATATATATAATGTTTGTTCTCTACAACTACTTCAAAATAGATATAATAATTCCCATTTATAGATTCTAAAACTGAGGTTCTCTGTTATTAAATGAAGTTGCCTGAGCTCACATACCTACTAAGTGGACAAGAGTTTTCTCACTGTGCCAAGCCATTAATTGATGATTCTATCACTGTATGTACATTTGGTGCTGTACATTTCCTGATGCTCCCTTCTTAGCCATTTGGTATAGAAGTTGGTATTTCATGGAGTTATTTTGAGCCTTATATTTTGTTTTTCTCATTTTAATCCTCATGTTAAGTTGAATTAATTGTTGACTAGTTTCCATGCTGCACCATCTATTGTGATACTTCATAGGTAACATTTTGGCATAGACACACAGATTTTGGAATAATGCATTGCAGAATGTTTTTAAAAATATTTTTGTAACACTTTATTTTTACTTTTAACTTTTTTATTTTAATTCAAGTTCCATTAGGCATAATTTGCACATAAAAAGCACAAGTATAACTGTTTGTTACAGTGGAAAGGGTATAGCTCTAATTATATGGACCTGGCTTCAGTTCTGATTTTGCCACATATTAACTGTGAGATCTTAGATGAATTACCTACCTCTTTGAACATTAATTTATCCACTTGTAAAAAGTAGATAATATATACTTAAAATTTATTATGGAGATTAGAGATAATATTAGATCTATACTATCTGACATAAAGTCTTCCATCTAGTATGTGTTCAATAAATTTCTGCTAAATATTAGACAAGTAGCTCATACTGTTATTGTTATCATTGTCATTGTTACAATTGTCCCTAGGGCCTTTCATTTCAGAAAATACAAATCATTGTTCTAGAGACAATTATTTTGCAGTTACCTAGGAATAAAGGTTTGGGGGAGGACTTCCTGAAATGTCACTTGGGGGTCCAGGTCTAAGTTTGAACTTAGACCATGGTTAAGTTGACCCTCTCTGCATGTGACCTTTTCTAGCCTTTCATAGTTCCATCTTTAATTGACTAGCACCAGGCTTTTTCCATTCTTGCTTGCCATTGTTCTGAGTCTTTAAGAGCAGCAGAGGCAGTGTCATCAGTTCAGCCTGTTGTCATTTAATTCAGAGACACACTTGTTACATACATGGAGATGTCCCATTCAGAGTCTTTGAAGAGGTCAGTTTTTCAGTTCTGCTGAGTCTCTAGCCACCTTCACTGGCAATCCCACTGGAAGGCAGTAGGCTTCTTTGTGGAGTGTGCTTAAGTGGACAGATTCTCCACTCTCAGCCATCTGCAGTGGTCTCAGCAGAGTAGCCCTTGAGCTGGAGTTGTTCTTAACATCACCTGGTTCTTCAGTGCAGATTTTGGCCACAGTTTATAGATGGCTGTAATCTCAGCTGTTGAAATGAAACAGCAGGTCTGGTTGATGAAGACCAAGGCTGAGTAAAACTAATGTGATTTGGCCCCTAGAGTCCTCTTGTCTCTGAGCAATAAATTTTGAAACCTGCAACTTTTGTGTATTTAGGAACCTATAAATATTACATGGGAATTTAACCTTTAACTTTTTCATTTATATCCCACAAAGAAGTTCATCTCTCCTAGAAAAGAACTCTTCTACCAAACTCAAAATTTCATGTATCTGATTTAATGTAACATTATCCTAAAAATAAAATTCATAGATATTCCCTATGAGTCATACTCTGTCTCCTCTTATGAGTAAGGAAGTATCTTTCAATCATATACTTGAATTCTGAGCAGTGTGCTTGTTATATAGTTATACATTCTTACAAAAATACAGAGCTTGTGCTTTTCTTTTCCAGCATTCTTACTTTACTGTGCCTGATACCAGAGAACTTCCCAGCATACCTGAAAATGTGAGTACTTGGGAAGAAAATGTTAAATTTATATTCTTTGATTTCTACTTATTTTTTAAATTAAAGGATTATTTTAGAATGTAATTGTGAAATTGTCATTTTTATAGTTTTTTAAAAGAATGCATTAGCAGGGTGGTACAACCTGTAATGTCTGTGGCTTGGGAGGCTGAGGCAGGAGGATCACATGTTTAAAGCCAGCTTCAGCAAGTTAGTGAGGCCCTAAGCAACTTAGTGAGACTTCGTGTCAAAAAAAAAAAAAAAAAAAAGGCAGTGAGTGAGGGCTGTGGATGTGGCTCAGTAGTTAAGTGCCCCTGGCTTCCATCCCTGATACAAAGGAAAAAATAAGGCATTATAAAAACAAATATAATAGGAAAAATGTATTATAAAAGCAAAATGTTGAAAATATAGAAAGTAAAAAGACAAGGAGAGATGTTCCTCATATGTCTCAAAGGTAAATCACCTATTAATGTGTCAATATCTCATTGTAGTCTTTTTAGAATATATTTTTACATAGTTAAATCACTTATTACATGAGTGTCTTTCTCATTTCATTCATAAGAATCATTTGTATTCACTACATAATATTCCATGTGCTTATCATTCCTCACTGTTTAAGTTTACTTATCATTTCTCACTGTTGTACACTTACATCGTTTCTCCTTTCTATCATAAATGAAATGTTTCCACATGAATAAAATTCCATGTAAAGGTTTCTTATTTTATTTTTTATTTTTTATTTTTTTTATTTTTTTAATTGGTTGTTCAAAACATTACAAAGCTCATGACATATCATCTTCCATACATTTGATTCAAGTGGGTTATGAACTCCCATTTTTTACCCCAAATACAAGTTGCAGAATCACATCGGTTACACATCCACATTTTTACATAATACCATATTAGTGACTGTTGTATTCTGCTACCTTTCCTATCCCCTACTATCCCCCCTCCCCTTCCCTCTCATCTTCCCTCTCTACCCCATCTGCTGTTGTTTAATTCTCTCCCTTGTTTTTTTTTTTCCCCTTTCCCCTCACAAACTCTTATATGTAATTTTGTGTAACAATGAGGGTCTCCTTCCATTTCCATAGTTTCCCTTCTCTCTCCCTTTCTCTCCCCCCACTCGTCTCTGTTTAATGTTAATCTTTTCCTCATGCTCTTCTTCCCTGTTCTGATCTTAGTTGCTCTCTTTATATCAAAGAAGACATTTGGCATTTGTTTTTTAAGGATTGGCTAGCTTCACTTAGCATAATCTGCTCTAGTGCCATCCATTTCCCTGCAAAATCCATGATTTTGTCATTTTTTAGTGCTGCGTAATACTCCATTGTGTATAAATGCCACAGTTTTTTAATCCATTCATCTATTGAAGGGCATCTGGGTTGATTCCAAAGCCTAGCTATTGTGAATTGTGCTGCCATGATCATTGATGTGGCAGTATCCCTATAGTATGCTCTTTTAAGGTCCTCAGGGAATAGACCGAGAAGGGCGATAGCTGGGTCAAATGGTGGTTCCATTCCCAGCTTTCCTAGGAATCTCCATACTGCTTTCCATATTGGCCGCACCAGTTTGCAGTTCCACCAGCAATGTATAAGTGTACCCTTTTCCCCACATCCTCGCCAACACTTATGGTTGCTTGACTTCATAATGGCTGCCAATCTTACTGGAGTGAGATGGTATCTTAGGGTGGTTTTGATTTGCATTTCTCTGACTGCTAGAGATGGTGAGCATTTTTTCATGTACTTATTGATAGATTGTATGTCCTCCTCTGAGAAGTGTCTGTTCAGGTCCTTCGCCCATTTGTTGATAGGGTTGTTTGTTATCTTGTTGTTTAATTTTTTGAGTTCTTTGTATATTCTGGATATTAGGGCTCTATCTGAAGTGTGAGGAGTAAAGATTTGTTCCCAGGGTGTAGGTTCCCTATTTACCTCTCTTATTGTTTCTCTTGCTGAGAAAAAACTTTTTAGTTTGAGTAAGTCCCATTTGTTGATTCTAGTTATTAACTTTTGTGCTATGGGCGTCCTATTAAGGAATTTGGAGCCCGACCCCACAATGTGTAGATCGGAGCCAACTTTTTCTTCTATCAGGTGCAGAGTCTCTGATTTGATATCTAGGTCCTTGATCCATTTTGAATTTACTTTTGTGCATGGCGAGAGAAAGGGGTTCAGCTTCATTTTGTTGCATATGGATTTCCAGTTTTCCCAGCACCATTTGTTGAAGATGCTATCCTTTCTCCATTGCATGCTTTTAGCGCCTTTATCAAATATAAGAAAGTTGTAATTTTGTGGATTGGTCTCTGTGTCCTCTATTCTGTACCATTGATCCACCTGCCTGTTTTGGTACCAGTACCATGCTGTTTTTGTTACTATTGCTCTGTAGTACAGTTTGAAATCTGGTATCGCTATACCTCCCGATTCACACTTCCTGCTTAGAATTGCTTTTGCTATTCTGGGTCTTTTGTTTTTCCATATGAATTTCATGATAGCTTTATCTATTTCTACCAGAAATGCCGTTGGGATTTTGATTGGCATTGCGTTGAACCTGTAGAGAACTTTGGGTAATATCGCCATTTTGATGATGTTGGTTCTGCCTATCCATGAACAGGGTACATTTTTCCATCTTCTAAGATCTTCTTCTATCTCTCTCTTTAGGGTTCTGTAGTTTTCATTGTATAAATCTTTCACCTCTTTTGTTAGGTTGATTCCCAAGTAAATAAACGAACTCACACTACATCTCAAAACCCTAGAAAAGGAAGAGCAAAACAACAGCAAATATAGCAGAAGACAAGAAATAATTAAAATCAGAGCGGAAATCAACGAAATTGAAACAAAAAAAAACATTGAAAAAATTGATAAAACTAAAAGTTGGTTCTTTGAAAAAATAAATAAGATCGACAGACCCTTAGCCATGCTAACGAAGAGAAGAAGAGAGAAAACTCAAATCACTAACATACGGGATGAAAAAGGCAATATCACAACAGACACTACAGAAATACAGAAGATAATTAGAAAGTATTTTGAAACCCTATATTCTAATAAAATAGAAGACAGTGAAGACATCGATAAATTTCTTAAGTCATATGAGCTGCCCAGATTGAGTCAGGAAGACACACACAATTTAAACAGACCAATAACAAAGGAAGAAATAGAAGAAGCCATCAAAAGACTACCAACCAAAAAAAGCCCTGGACCAGATGGGTATACAGCGGAGTTTTACAAAACCTTCAAAGAAGAATTAATACCAATACTTTTCAAGCTATTTCAAGAAATAGAAAAAGAAGGAGCTCTTCCAAATTCATTCTATGAGGCCAACATCACCCTGATCCCGAAACCAGACAAAGACACTTCAAAGAAAGAAAACTACAGACCAATATCTCTAATGAACATAGATGCAAAAATTCTCAATAAAATCCTGGCGAATCGAATACAAAAGCATATCAAAAAAATTGTGTACCATGATCAAGTAGGATTCATCCCTGGGATGCAAGGTTGGTTCAATATACGGAAATCAATAAATATTATTCACCACATCAATAGACTTAAAGATAAGAACCATATGATCGTCTCGATAGATGCAGAAAAAGCATTCGACAAAGTACAGCATCCTTTTATGTTCAAAACACTAGAAAAACTGGGGATAACAGGAACTTACCTCAACATTGTAAAAGCTATATATGCTAAGCCTCAGGCTAGCATCATTCTAAATGGAGAAAAACTGAAGGCCTTCCCGCTAAAATCTGGAACAAGACAGGGATGCCCTCTTTCACCACTTCTATTTAATTTAGTCCTTGAAATACTAGCCAGAGCAATTAGACAGACAAAAGAAATTAAAGGCATAAAAATAGGAAAAGAAGAACTTAAAATATCACTATTTGTGGACGATATGATCCTATACTTAGAAGACCCAAAAGGGTCTACAAAGAAACTACTAGAACTAATAAATGAATTCAGCAAAGTGGCAGGATATAAAATCAACACGCATAAATCAAAGGCATTCCTGTATATCAGTAACAAAACTTCTGAAATGGAAATGAGGAAAACCACCCCATTCACAATATCCTCAAGGTTTCTTATTTTAAAATAGTAGATTACTTCAAGTAGAATTGCACTTCTGCTTCTTATCCTTGTGTAATTCACTTTTCAGAGAATAAAAGTGTAGTGGGTAAAGCATGAGGGGCTCCTATCTTCGCCCCCTGAGGGCTTAGGAGCAGTAGATTAAAGTGCAAGAGCAGATGGTCCATATCTGCCCTCTGAACAAATTCAGTGACATGTTAAGCCTCAAGGTATGTTTTCAAAATGTTTTACTGTGATTGTAAATAGTTCTGTGTGTGATCAAATATAGAGTAGCCACTGAGGTACTTGGTTCCTTTTTTAACAATTGTGGTAAAATATACATAACATAAAATTTACCATCTTAACCACCTTTAAGTGTACAGCTCAGTAGTTTTAAGTATATTCATGTTGTTGTGCAATATGTCCATCTCCAGAACTTTTTATCTTGCAGAACTGATGCTCTGTACCCAGTGAACAACTCCCCGTTCCCTCCCTCTCCCCAGGTCTTGACAACTCTTAAATGGCATGCAGAAATGAAATTGTACAACACTTGCTTTTTGTGCCTGGCTTATTTCACTTAGTGCGATATCTTCTGAGTTCATCCATGTTGTTGCATTGTCAGAATAGCCTTCCTTTTAAAGGCTGAATGAAACTGCACTGTGTATGTATACCCACATTTTGTTTATCTATTCATCCATTGGTAGACATTTGGATTGATCCCACCACTTTGTTATTGTGAATAATTCTACTTCGAACGCTGGTGTACTAATATCTGAATCCCCACTTCAAATTCTTTTGAGTGTATCTTTGATAGCAAAGAGGTGGATGGAACGTGGGTATTTTTTTTTTCACATTAGGTAATTAAAAATTCATATCAGAGTTCCCATTGCAACTCCAATAGCTAATGTTTATTGAATTCTCCTGTTGTCCGATAACGTGCAGTACATTTTCCCA